AAGCAAGCAAGCAAGCAAGCAAGCAAGCAAGCAAGCAAGCAAGCAAGCAAGTAAGCAAGTAAGTATAAGTAAGTTATTATAAGTAAGTAAGTCAGTCAGTCAGTCAGTCAGTCAGTGAGTAAGTAAGTAAATATGTATGTATGTATGCACGCACGCATGCATGTATGTATACTCGCAGCTCCTAGGGCAAGCGTTTTGAACAGAGCAAGAACAAAGCAGAGACAGACTCTGCTCAACACAACACGGCACTACTCTGGAGCTTCCCGCACTCTCAAGCTGTCTCCAAAGTGCGTATAGCCAGCTCACAGCACCGGAAACAGCGCCGACACCCTGTCTTGACAGCGCACAGCCAGCTGACATGAGCACTGGCGCCAGCAGCGACACCCTGTCGCAACACAGCCAGCTCACAGCACCGGCACCAGCGCCCAGTACCGGCACCAGCACCGACACCTGCTTCAAAAGCGCGCAGTCTTATTTGAAATAAGAAAACCATTGCTATCGCTATCTGGTGAAAAAACCGAACGTCTGTTTCTCCGAGCCTAAGGTCTGGCAAGGTGAAGCTTCTTCGGCCCTGGGCCAAGAAACTGAAGACGTCGCTCAGCACGGTGGCATCATGGCCTGGTGGACAAACACAATTTATCTTGTCTGAAACATGACTTTCACAGCCTTACCCTGTGTCTCCACACGTTACACGACATGTTTGTTGCAACTGGCCCTTAGATTGTTCAGGATTGTGAGCACGCTCGGTCAACGCTTGAAATACTGTATGACTATACTTCAAAGGGATCAGGCACCAGGACCAGCAATCTCCGGCGCAGCAGGGGGGCTTGTTTCCACAAACGCAAACAAGGGGACGCCTTGTTGGATGTGATGTGCTGCGCAGCCCCGATTTGCCGTGACTTTATGCGATGATCTGTGGTGATTCAGCGGTCATGTGTTTTCTATATATACTGTAATTGTTTAGGGTGCGTTCACTCAAAGTTAGGACATCCTGTATCATTTTGCAGTGCTTCGCACATGGTCACTGTAGGCGTCGTTTCGCCGGGTTGTGCAGAGCTATGCAGCAAGTTTCAAGGACATATTGCATATGGCAAATGGAGCATCGCCTCGGTCATTTCTCACGCAAAAACTAAAAATCATAGTTTTGGAGGCTTGGGTGTTGTATCAAGTAAAAAACGTTTGAGAACAGCTCATGTGTTGATAAGGGTCCAGTTGGTCAGGTGGTGTCTTCTCATGGAATGTTTGACAGCGGATGTTCACTGGACAAACAGTTTTGCATGCGCTTGGGATCTCTGGATATGCTGGGGCTGGCAAACAGCCAAGTGTGGGAGAATGGTTTTTCCTGCAAAGTCATACCTCACACACATCCAAAGCATTGGAACAAACCAATAGGCGATAAATTCTGATAAATAGATCCTTGATGCACAACCTTTGACTCTAGTTCAATAAAATGACAGTGTGTTTCCCCTCAAAGGACCTCAAGGCATCAGAAGTGCACCAAGGCTTCGTAACAAAGCTTACCAACTTCAACTCGCAGTCTTCTTGAAGTCAACTTCAGAAAGGTGGGTTGAAGGAAACAGCGCGTTCAAGCAGCATAAATGTCCTATATAGATTTATATAGATTGTCACTAGGGTGCCACAGTTCTTGGAAACCATATATTATAAGCCAAAACTCTCTCTCTCACTCTCTCTCTCGCTCTCTGATTCTCTAGGGCCAGCTGTAAACCAGTTCGGAATAGACAGGAAACTCAGTTTTCACTGGAACTGCAGGTAGCCGGTTGGCTGGCACCCTTGGTGAGGCATGTAGTAGAGTCATCAAACAAGGTGAGGGCCAATAAACCTGTGGCAAACTTTGGCGATGAAACTTAGAGTAATTAGTGCTTTGCAATTGTTATGCGCAAAGCATCTGAGAGAGCTCCTCTCTTTGGACAATACAAATAACTATGTAGGCTGACAAACGGCTTCTCTACTTCACCAACCATCACTGAAGCTGAAGACAAACTTTATTCTGAGCGCTCTCTATGTAGGAGACACAAGGAAGGGGAGCAGCACGGACACCGACGTCCTCAATCGCGGCTCCATGAGGTGATTCTTACGATGTGTGTGCGTGTGTGCACAAAGCAACCGCGTCAGTGATAGCCGAAGACACAACTTAAATATGCGCTCACTCAGCGCACATTGAGCACATGCTTTCGCAAGTCCATCTTTGAATATTTTTGTACGCGTTGTAGTTTGCTTCTGTAAGAAACCTGTTTCATGGGACGTCAAATGTGCCTTAACCTATCTTGAATCCTCAATACACCTACGCTGCGCCATGATGTCACACACTTGAGATATTGTGTACTGAACTGAATGCGGTGCCACCCGCCAGCCTAGGTTAAAAAAACCTGAGTAAAACAAGGTGCAAAAGTTAGAGGCCATAGCTCTTAGGTTAGAGTCTGGCCATCGAAAGCAGGTTGAGAGGCCATCGCTAGTAGGTTAGAGACAAGAAACCATAAGACAGCAAAGCGGTCAAAGTTGGAGGTCTTCGCACTTAGGTTGGAGGCCGTCGAAGGCAGGTTGAGGGGCCATCGCTAGTAGGTTAGAGACATGAAACCACAAGACAGCAAAGCGGTCAAAGTTGGAGGTCTTCGCTCTTAGGTTGGAGGCCGTCGAAGGCAGGTTGAGGGGCCATCGCTAGTAGGTTGGAAACTCGAAACCACAAGACAGCAAAGCGGTCAAAGTTGGAGGTCTTGGTTGGAGGCCGTCGAAGGCAGGTTGGGGGCCCTCGCTAGTAGGTAACAAGAAACACAAGACAAACAAGACAGCAAAACAGCAAAAGTTGGGGGTCCATTCTAGTGGGTGGAGGCCAGAGTTCAGGTTAAAAACCCCTTACAAAGTTTGGAGGCCTACCTGCAACCTATAGGGTAGCCTTAGAGGGAAACAGAAGGAAAGGCACCGACACACAAGTGCGTCGAGTACCATTTCCTCCTGTTTTCCTAGATAGGGAACAGGTACGGAAGTTTGCGTCCAAACTTCCATCCAGTCGATTTCCATAGCTTCATTGGCGTGACTAGGAAATCGACCGTCACGCCCCC